TTCAAGAAAATTCACCGATAGAAGTGAAGAGGAGGCTTAGGTATAAAGATCGCAACGAACGGATCGATGATCGAAGAAGAATTGCTCTTGATCTTGACTTTAGATTCTTGATAAAATTGTTGTTGTGTTCTTGATCAAAAGTAGAAAAAACTTTGATTTGATCCTTGAGAATTGAGAGAATTGTTAGACTTGTGTTTTTTGAGAATTGGTGAATTAAGGAGCCTCCTCCTTTGAAAATTCAGATTTCAAGATTATATAGTGTGGGCAAATTGAGCCTTGGATGTGCAATTGGATTGAGCCTTGACTTGAAAGCGTAAGCCCAACACGACCATAAAGTGCCACGTCATCATCCGTACAAAATCTTTGAAAAGTTCTAACATAAAAAATGAAGATAATCAAATTTATGACGCGTTGCCGAAAGAACAGGCTCAATCCGATAAACGACGAGGAAGTTATGAATTTTTGAAGTTTTACTGACACCGTGTTAGACAAAAATAATTTCTTGTGCAGAATTTTATTGCGTCGCGCGCGAAGATGACAAAAAAAAAAAGCCTTTGAGTCACTGTTTGTCTTTGGCATCTGAAGAGAAACTGTAGTAGACGAAATTTGTGAACCAAAGCCTCTGGGCTCAGCTCAATATGATAAAAATCGAACTAGATGCGAATTTTACCGTATCAAACATTAATACACATGAATTCTGGTTCAGCACAACCATGTCTTCGGAAATTCAAAGTTCACGGGTCCTTCCTTAGTGAATCATCTTTTGACTTCAAAAGACGACATCAAGATGACATCGAGACGGAATTTTGACAATCAAAACCGCACGCATACGACATTTCATCCGGGAGTTATGAATTTCCTAATGCACACGAAACCACGATTCAACACACTTTTCTTTGTATTTTTCACTGTATAACTTTCAAAAGAACTGCATATTCAGAGACCTTTTTTCGAGGATTAACTTTGGTCCGAACACGCAAGTCGGAGAGGACATCTAGACGGTTTCAAATCTTCAAGAATCCACCCAAAACACCATTTCCAAACAGGAGATACAAATTTTTAAACTCAGATCGGTAGAAGTACTGTTTCCAAGTCGTACTGCTTTAAATTTACCGGAGACACCCAAATCTTTTACAACTCGGCATGCTTTAAAAAATATGAGAGCTTTGTTACGTTGATGAAATGTCTTGATCCCATGCATATGGATCCAATTATATGCATTGCATGCATGTATATGCATGCATGTATATGCTAACAAGAATACAAGCCAATTTAGAGTTAAAAATGAAGATGACAGATTTTGGGGTATAACATCTAGAAAGAAGGAATACCTTATTTAACTTTGTGACACGTTGGAATATATCCTCAATGTTGGAACGTACGTTACTTGTGTTTATGTCTCTTGGATATCTTAAATTCCGACTTACTGCTAGAGATATGTTATTATTTACAAATTTTAGTGTTTACAAGGAAAGCCAGTTACCCGAGCTTAGATAGCAGCATGTAGTTCTTTGCTCCAGTACCTCATCTCCAATCTGAAAACCTGTATATTGGGAATTAAACTATGTCTTCACCAATTTATAGATATTTTTTTTTTTTACAATTTGTCATACCGTAAAATTTTCTTTTAATATACCTAAGAAAGTCTAGTATGATCATTAGGAAAGATGATAAAGGTCTTTTGTTGGATAGAGAACTTATCCTATTAGACTTCCAAACATCCTATAAATAACAAAAGAAGGTTTTGAATGGTTGTATGTATATATTTGAGTACTCTTTGTCAGAGTAATAGTGGCGGCGCCGCTTATCCCACTATAGTGGAGTGGTGCGGAGGCCAACCGCTATGAGAAGAGCCTTAGCGGTACAAAACATTATATGGTAAATAGCCGGATAGCAGAGCAGAGCAGTTCCTGGCCCAGAGTGGTTTCTGGCCCAGAGTGGTTTCTGGCCCATTATCCCTTTCCCCCTTAAAAACCAAAATTACCCCTTAAATTCATGACGTTTTAAGGATAATTTTGGAGTTTTCAATCAAATTTGAGTTGAGACTCAACCTTATCCTTTCTTCATAGTCGTTTATGCACTTCAAGAGTCATGAGTGTTTTGATTTGTAAATATTTTATGAGTTAAGTTATTTATTTAATTTTACATTAATTATATGTTTATAGAGCACTCATCCCGCTATACACTATCCCACTTTTGGGGTCGGCCGCTCTGTGCCGCTGTCCGGAAAGGACTAATCTGCTCTTTGTAAATAATGAATTAATTAGAAGTACAGTTCCCCCATTATTTCCTCTCTGATCTCAATTGGTTGAGTTACTTATTGATGGTGATGGATGTTTGGAAAATATTATCAATGATGATTTTGACATCTTATCTTTTTTTATCAAAAGGAAATTCTTTTGCTTGCAAGTATCAGTGTTTAGTTTCTAGAGGTATAAAAATGATCAACTTATAAACAGGTAGCTCCTGTGCTAAACATCAGCATATTGAGAAAGTGGAACCTCTGGTGCCACAAGTGCAAGCTGAAACATCACAGACAACTGGCACAGTTCATGATCCCCCTCCCAAAGTTGATTTTTCAACGGATCTTTTTGACATGTTGTCTATGGATGATCCAAATGAAAAGGCTCTGACGCAGCTGATGCTAATGCTGATGATGATAACAACTGGGCAGGTTTTCAGTGTATGTTCTTGGTATAACTTAAAAAAATGCAACTAGATGATGATCCACACAAATTTTCTTTGAATGGATGATGATCCACATGTTGCGCAGTTAGAATATATTTGTCTAAGTGATATCTTATATAAGAATACGAGCTAGAGTAAGTGTGTGTAGCTTATGGAAAAAAATTCTGTTCATAGTGATGTCTTTGCATAAGAGATTATTTATCTGACACATTAACATTCCTACTAATAGAAATTATTTGTTGGCTCTAAGATAGCAGTATGTTATATATTATCTACATTTTAATCTTTGGCAACCCAATATATAGAAAAAAGATTTTCCAATTTTAGAATTTAAAAATTGTCATTGCAACAAAAAACCGAGGTCCTCAGGATCCCGTGCTATTTGCTAAATGAACTCCATTTTTGTAGTTGCTTTTGGTTTTATTTGTTTGATAGACATGTAACAATAGTGTTTCAGACTCTTTTTTTTTGTTGATGATTTGGAGACGCTTCTTATGATCATTTTGTTTACTATAATTGTTGCAGCTGCTACAGAGACGTCAACAGCTGAGAAAACTGAGACCAGGAAATCGGTTGAAAGTACACCCCAGCCCAGCTCTGAATGGAGGATCTATTTAAAGACTCATCTTCAGTAACGCCAAGCTCTGCTCTTGAAAAACCACAAAAAGATATAAAAAATGATATTATGAGCCTCTTTGAAACGGTTAGTGCATGCTTTTAAGATTGTGAGATCCTTCTATGAGTTGATATAGTTAGTCTTATTATTGACTTCCTTCATGACATTACGGTTGAATTTAGCTGTGGGTCTTGCTGTTGATCTCTATCTAAAGATGGGTTGTTTTGTTATGATATCATATGTCAATATGATTTTACCTGACACAGTAAATGGGATATATGCAGAAGCAGAACAATATAGTGTCTCCATTTGCTATGCATCACATCAGTTGGCTATGCTGGCACAACAACAGTCTCTTATAATGGCGGCTGCTGCTGCTGCTAAATCTGTTAGTGGGGATGCCAAATATCCTGCTAATGTACAGCAACCTGTCTTAGTATTCCTACCCAAAGTTGGCCAGCTGCAAGCTACCCAATTCCAGGAGTAATTCCCGTGGGTGGTCGAGGAGAACTGCAGAAACTTATGCAGGTAATGATCAATGTGAGCTTTAATCTAATTGATTAATGATTTGTTCTTATCTGTTCTGCAATTTGTTTATCTTCTTCCTTCTGGATCAGACAATGAACATGACTCTTCCACGCATCCAGCAGAGAGCTCAGTTCAGTATCCACCGTCTAGGTACGCAACTAGTCTGTGTATTTAAAAGCCCATTAAATTCCAGTATAGAACACAGAATTTTGATAGGGATGATGATGATTATTGTTATTATTATTATTATTATTATTATTATTATTATTATTATTATTATTATTATTATTATTATTATTATTATTATTATTATTATTATTATTATTATTATTATTATTATTATTATTATTATTATTATTATTATTATTATTAGTTAATAAT